TCAACAGGTACATCGTCCAATTTGTCCAAGTAATGATAATATACCAAGATCATGCAGAAATGAAATTTAAGGAACCAATTTTGAAAAAAAGCCACATTTAGGTGAGAAAATTTGGCAGAGTTGGAAAATAGACCTTTGATGATTTTAATCCGAGCTTCTTTTCCATGTGGGATAATGGATCCATTCAAAAGTGTTGTGGAGAATTTTAGTAGTCGAGCCTCTAATTTGGTTCCTTTTATAGAAGTTTGCCTAAACTAAATTGTGATGATGCCGAAACTCAGGAAAAAACAGGTTATAGAAACTAATAGTTCGAAACTCAGTTACTTTGCCGAAACTTAATCACTGTGCCGAAACTTCAATTTTTGTTGAAACTATTTTATAATGATTAGACATTTTCTTTTGAAACAAATTAATTATTGTTGAAATACAAGAAATTTTATTATTATTGCAAAACATTTATTATTATTATTATGTAGAAGGTGTTATAATTCTTTGGTTACATTAGTATCAACAAAGGATAAGTTTGGTGAGGTGTTTGCTTTGGTAGATTTTGGTGTCGTTGAAAAATGCACTAGTTGAATATCATATTCTGGATCATCGTTATCTTCTTAGTCTAAGTCTATGATCTCCAAATCTGAAAGAATGCATTTGCTTAGCTTTATTGATAATATATTTAGGAAGATACTTCTCACATCTTCATTTTCAATTTTGTGATTCTCTCCAAAAAATTTTTATAACATAAAAAATGATTTCTTTTCAGCAATCTTGATTGGTTTAAGGACAGAATAATATCTTTATCTTTAAATAAAGAAAGAAAAAAGATTTTTATTATTATTTTTATTATTTGAATGTGCGCATTTATAAATTTATGTGCAACAAAAAAATTTTCCCGTGATAAAATCTCTATAATCGATGAAATTATTACCAATTATGTTATATAGATTTAGTTTCGGCATTTGCTGAAATTTAGTAATTAGGCAAACTTTTATATAATATACGGGTTTAATTATTAAAATTAAATCATTTTGATCATTATTATTAAATTGTTAATGTTAATATACAACCAATAATTAATGCCAATACTGACATTAATTATTGGTAAAGTAATATTATCATTATATGCTTTATGAATCATAGTTACACAAAAGGCTTAACATTTTATAGTTTCGGCAAAAATAATTATGCCTAAAATTTCGGCATTTTGCTTGCTTGAAAATCGAAACTAAATTTTTTAATTTGCCGAAATTTAGTGGTTTAGGCAAACTTCTATAGTTCCCTGCATTTTGTATATTGTGTGCATCTGTGTATTTATGCATGCATACAATTACAAGTCATAGTCCCTTAAAAATCATTTCCAAAAAAAAATTAAAATGAATGGATCTGATGTTGATTATATGCAGGGTTGCCATTGGACAACATCCTGGACACTATCCAATATGTTCAAGGTGTACCTGGTTGATTATTATTTTGAGTTGGTGATTGAGATGATGGAGTTGGTCGTTTGTTATGTTGCGTTGTTGATCATACACTTAATATTACACAAAGTACATGAGGTGGATTTGGACCTACAGGCGCAGGATAATATTCGTGTCCAACGCCGATCTTCCCTATAAAAAAAAAAACATGTAGAAAAAAGGTACTGAATACATACGTTATAAACAGTACGAATTCCAAATAATACCCATACTTATAAAAGGTACAGAGTTGGACACTTTTCCTGTATCTCATCCGGAATCAACACTTTTTCCATATTTCAAAGTACTGAATCATACATGTTTTAGTTACTATTGCTGAATCCATGCCAATACCAAAAATCACTAATAAATTTAAAAATAAAAAGTTTTTTTTGAAAAAAATACCAAAAAATAATATGAACTTCAACCCGAGGTCAAAAGCCGAATTAAAAGTTGAAATGGTCGAAATTTACATCATACAACAGGTCGAACATATAGAAAAATCAATCAAAAGCTTTAAATTACCATAACTCGGTCAATATTTGGCTTTTTGGGGTAAAATAACTACCATTCGAATTCTCTCGATGAGGTGAGGTCTGATGAAATGTAATTCAAATCATTAATTATTGAGATATTTTTATTTACTGTATATCTTACAATAACCCACCATTTATCGATGCTATGAACATTAAAACATTATTATTCGAATCGCTGAGCCGTGTTTCATTAAAGTTGGATCACGGTTCTCGTGTGATATGACATAATTTCCCCCGAAATTAAATCATTTCGACTTTACGTTAATAGTCAAATATATGATTATAGTCTTCACTTCATATTTCCGTACTCCACACTAAATTTGAAAAGGGGCAATTTTTCCAAACCGTAAAAGAAATACGTTAATTTCGTATGCAGTATATATTCTTTAAGAACGTATTTAGCACACGTTAATTCCGTATTTTAAATTTTCATAGGGATTGTATGATAAAGGAAGTTAACAATTTAACAATTATTTATTATTATTATTATTAACAATCATGTGATGATAACTTTTTCATCAATCATTAAGAAGATTACATTTACAATTGCAATATTATATTGGTTGTGGCATCAAACATATTTCCTGAAAAAAAAAAAGTAGATTCTTTGAAATCAATATTGTCAATTACACAAACATTCCATATTATAGGTCCATAACTAAATTTTCCTTTGGATTCGCAGCTGTCATCAATTCATCTTCACAGCGATACTCGTGTCTTAATGTGTGAGGAAGTACATCATTAGCTAAAAACACATTATTAATTCTACCCAGTTTAACAAAATGAGACCAAGTTTTGATTTTGTCATTCCTTAAAAATACTGTCAATTAATATAATCAATAAAAATTAAAAATTGCCATTTTTTTTTTTTTTTTGGATAGAATTATGTATATGATGTATGGGACATTACATGATTTGAAAAAAAATAATGCGTATGTCAAATAGTTATCCAACTTGACTTGCAAAAATCTTTGAATGATATTATAAAATGGTCATTAATGTGGTCAAGAATACTTGATAATTTGTTTGGACCTTCTGAATTTATTGGAGAATGGAATGATAAAAAAAATTGTATTTTTTCTGAATTATCAAAAATACATGGAGAAATTTGGATGTATACATCATATTCTTTAGAAAACTCTGCAATTGTCGAGACTACACCTAATGTTGTAATATTTAAAGCAAGCCCTCCAGCTAATTGTGATAGAAATGTTTTTGCTACATCCAAACTGTTTAAAGAGGATATTCTTTCCGGATACAATAAACGTCTCGACTTAGTTGCTGATGATATTACACATTCAATGAAGCAATGGGAATACATGGAATAAAATGCACAGGTAAAATATTTGTCATAATCATACTTCCATATGAAGAAATCAAGTCAATGCAATCAAGAAGAGAAAGACTTGATATGTTTCTATCAGAATTTTTGGATGATGGTGTAAAAAAAGAAATGAAAAGGCCATTCATAGTCGTAAAGAAGTCTCTAGCAAGTTATAGATGAGCTCTGCAATATATTCAATGGCACAACTCCACTGGATCGTTCTTTATTAAAGAATTACATGATGAAGGATTAAATACATTTACAATTAAATGTAAAAGTACAAAAACCTAAAAAGGATATTTGTTCCACACAAATGGTATGTGATATTAGAAAGAAAATAAACACAAAAAAAGAAAATAAAGAAAAATCTAATGTAAAGGAACAACCAAAAACTATGATAATTGATGATGACAAAAATATACAAAATACATACTCTTCCACTTCCAATGCACTCCCTTCACAATCCTTTATAAGCAAAAAACTAAAACGGAAATTCTTGGATGCTTTGTCTCTTTCCAAAAAACTCTTCCAAAAGATGTGATTGGTCCTGTTGCTGAAATCATTATTCCAACTTGACCCAAATTATTGGGATAAAAAAAAGATGAAAGATTATTGACGATTTAACCTTGAGCCTAATAGAAGGAAAAAATATATGAAACTATAATAAAAAATTTTTTTATTGCATATAATGTTTTTTTTTCATACATAAAATATATGGGTAATCATTTAAACAAACAAATTATAAATAAAACTATTAGATTTATTTAAATGGTAATAGACTATTTAACTTTTAATCATTTCTATTTTAATGTGCTATGTGGTTTCATTTCATCAATTAATATTATATGTAATTTGGTTAAAATTTTAAATAAATTAATAATAGCCTTATAAATAAATAACTATAAGCGGCTTTATAGGGAACACTTTTGACACAACTGTTCTGCTGAATTTATTTTAGTCTGCATACTAGTTGGGCGATAATCTTAAAATAGGCTTAAAGAAAAACTTTTGATCTGTCGTAGAATAACCAATATTTAAGCCTTTTTCTTTTAATGGCTAAAAAAGTCCTGGTCTATCTCTAAAAATTTTATGGTTGAAAATCTATATGAAAAAACGGGGGGTTTTTTTTTAATAAATTTATTTGTGTAACATTTATATTGAATAACACTTAATCACGAGCAAGATAAAGTTTATAATAAATTTCCTTGTGATAACTTAATTGGATTGATCGATCCAAAGCTTCAACTCGAAGATCATTTATCTGTAATAATACAATATTTATTATGTAACAATTGTAACAAAAAAGAAGTCATCAAGGAAATTAATGCAGGCGAATTATTATCAATTTTGGAAAAAAATTTATGCAATGGAATTCTAGAAATTTTGGATTCGGCTATAAAGCGTTAAAATTATTTGTTTCAAAAATATTGACATTGTTTTTTATTCCTATTTAAATAATCTTTCTCTCCCTTCAACTTCAATTCCAACACCATTTCTTCTTTTCCCTTTTTTTTTTTATATTTATTAATTTCCTAACTTTTCAATAATATTCGAGCAATTATAGACTGGTTTCTATATTTGCAATATACATAATATACATAATATACATAATATACATAGATTCATCAACCTTCATCATATTAATAAAAAACAACAGCGATATTAATTAATATATTTTTTTTAAAAATGAAGCCAACCAATTTCCTTTCTTTAACTTTAATCTTCATTTTTTTCATTCTTTTCAACAACAATTCTATTGTTTCTGCTGAGGAGAAGGCTATCGAGTTTGGGTACACGGGGGACAAGGGGCCGTTATTTTGGGACTTATTATCTGAAGATTCAAAAATTTGTAAAACTGGTAAACGTCAATCACCAATTGATATCACAACAAAACTATTATCAGCAAAGAAAAAAAAGGGACCAAAACCAGACTTTCAAGATGCTTTAAATGTCGAAATATTTAATAACGGGAATACAGTAGAAGTAAGCCCGGGAGAAAAAAACAAAACCTTACCGGCTACAATCGTCACTAGCGACGATGGTACTTTATATAAATTGAATCAATTTCATTTCCATACACCTTCCGAACATCGTATCGATGGTGTACATTTCGATGTTGAACAACATTTAGTATTCAGTAAAGTTAAGGGCAAAAATCCAAATGAAATTGCAGTCGTTGCAGTTTTCTACAATATTGGTGATGAAGAAAATGTGTTTTTGAAACCAATTGTCGAAAATGTAAGCTTATTTCAAAAGAAAATTCTAATAATACATATATTATATCTGTGCATATATATTTATTTATTTGTTTTGAAATCACCTAGATTCCAAAGAAAGTCGAAGAAAAGAATAAAATTAAAAAGGTTGAATTAAGTAAATTGATAAAAGACATAGATAGCATTAAAAACGTGAGTAATCATTAATATTTATTTATTTAAAGCAAAAACAGTCAAACAAACTACCATGAATTGTAACTTATTTCATTTCATTTCGTTTCTTAAATATAAAGGCATTCAATTATGATGGAAGCTTAACAACACCACCATGTACTGAAACCGTTGAATGGTATGTCAACAAGGAGCCATTATCACTTAGCGTACAACAATTTAAAGAGATGCGCGATGTCATTGGTTTCAATTCACGTTTCACACAATTAAGAAGTGACGAGTCTGTTGTTAGAAAAAGGTCACTTCCAAAAATGAGAAGAGTTTTTAGACGATAGATTAATTTATTCATACATATTAATAAATAATTATTTAATAAATTTCACGTATTACAATCAATAAAATTTAAATAATTTTGAACTTAATTAATTGTGACCATCATATTCATGCAGGAATTATTTATTAATAAATGTTTTTTAAAAAAAAATTGATACATACCAACATATTTGTCAAATTTCCCAAAAATCTCTCTTGTTTCACGATAAATGCTAGAGCTTATTATTATGTACGAACCGGTTCGAACCGATTTTTTAAACAAGCATGTTGGTTCAGTTAAAAATCAAATAGCTCATATATATGCTAAATACTAGTACATCTACATCAGGAATCAATACTTTTAGCAAACTTTTTTTAAAAGACGCGTTGTATGCGTTTCAACAAAATTAAATATTTTTGTGTGTAACATCTTATATTTTTGTGCGACAAATGAATGTCCACCATATATATGTACACTTCATTTACTTATATAGTTAGAATACTGCTTCAAAACTTTGAAACTGTAGCACGGAAAATACTGCTTAGAACCTTCAAGCAGTATATATAAACAATATGTACTAAAAATGACAAGAAGGTTCCTAAAAATATATAACAGTTTCGACTGAATCCAATCACAAACAAAAGCCATTCTCCGGCATATTCCCTATTTATATTAAAAATCTATTTCGTTTGCCATAACTATAAACGCTCTCCAACTCAAATAGTTAGTGACAATAGCAAGTGTATTGAATGAACAAGTATCATATTAACGATGTAATATTTTTCATTAGGCAAAAGGATTAATAGTGTATTATAATTAGATGATACATTGAGTAATGACAAGGCACAAAGTTCAATGAAAGCTTTCAACATTCTATAAATATCTTTTTTCACGAATAAAAATATTCAATTCAAACTTTTTTTCTCAAATGATATTACTGATATAGAATACACACTGATTTCGCGGGTTTAGGGGTTTAGCAAATAAATTTTCCTATTACTATTATTATAATTATTTTATCTTGATTTAACGGGTTTAACGAATTTTTAATATTAATATTAATATTAATTTTTTTTTTTTTTAAATTAAGACTTCATTTCAAATTATATTAATATTAATATTAAATATATATTTGATTTTATTAAACCATATATGCTATTTATAACGTATGAAGATCTTTGCTATTATAATAAGATAAATTGCACTAATAACTCACGATTTATTATTATATATTAAATATGTATGATAATGTATAATAATTAAATAAATAGTTATGAATGTTCATGGTGATGCTACTATGATCCTAGTATAATATCATAATTAATTAATTTCTTAATAATGTTTTTTATTAATATCTTTAATGCGGGTTATGTCAAGAGATTAAAATGAAAATTTTTTATAAAAATTCTCAACAACAAATACAAACAAGAATAGAATATTGTTATAATGACAATGTTAACATTTTAAACGAAGGAGTATGTTTTTAAATAACTGTGTCTGCATTATTACGTTATATGAATAAAATTTTATTTTTAATGTAACACATCACACGATTTAATTATTGTTAATTTCCTCGTATAATATATATATACAAACATGTCGTCGATGCTCATTATGCGTTATATTTGTATTGATTGTTGCATGCTTTTTTTTTTCAATGAAGTTTGATGTTTTTTACAGCCCATGCGGACAATTTCCGAAAGGTTACACCTTTATCTCTCAGTTCGTAGGGATAGAGCCTCAGCCTGGGAAAACATATAAGAGGGATATCCCCCTTTATCAATCCTATCGATCTTTGGGTATCGGTCGGATAATTCACTCAATATCTACAAACCAGGTGATCAGATATATATCCGTGCATTTATATTTATCCCTCGCCAGGCTAAAGCTGTATCTCTCTGAACACAGGGATAAAGGTCAGACCTATCCGGAAATCGTTCGCATATGGTGGTTTTTTATTAAATATGTAATAGTGTAATAATCCAATTTTCATTTTACGTCAGCCAATTACTACGTGACATGTCACTCATAAAAAAAAAAGGAATTGCAAATATTCCTTGATACCAACAAATATGATCTATAATTCCTGCATGTTATTTTAACCATATCTCATCTTTATCACAAAATTAGCAAGTGATTGTGTATTTGTTTATATGCTGCGTTTACTAAAGATTCACTTACACCATCTCTTTCTGCAACAACTCCATTACTCCATTCACAATTACACGCTTTGCATTTGGCTCCAAAATATCCAAGGATAACATTTCAAAATGTTGCCAAACTGCGTTTTTTGGTCGCTTGCCATATTTTTTTTTTGAATTCGATGAGTTATTTATATCTACACGAGTATTGTTTGACATTATGATTAAAAAAAATTTATATATATTTTTAAGAAAGATAAAAGTTATATTAGAACAAGTAAGGAAATTATTATATTTTTAAAGTGGAAATTTTATATTTATGTTGATTTAGGCTAAACCAATGGTTTAATTAATCAAAATAAAAGGAACTATTGATAAAAACGTTGGTCACTTGAAGAGAAAATGATTTTGATAATCATGGTACAAATAACATGTCATATGATCATAAAATCAGTTTAGGAGTTTCGGGTTAGTTTAGAAAATAGTTTGAGGTTTCTAAACTAGTTTAGAAAGGGGGTTAGAGCTCAGAAAGGCAACTCTACCATAAACACATAAATTTATACAATTCATTATTTTAACATGTACAACTATTAAGTACGGTTTAATAATTAGCTTTCTGAATATGAGCTTTAACATTTGGTTACACTATTACCATAAATCCAGAAATTTTATTAAACAAAAAAAGATTATTTGTGGATCAAAAGTGCCCAAAAGAGGGAGACAAATACTTTAAATTTTATTTAATTCCCTTGGAGTGTATGGTATGATGAATATTTTAGGCAAGGTAAATGGAGGAGGTGTGGAGCATCTGTTATTTAGTTCGTCATCATTGTTGTCATCAAAATTGTTTAATTTTTATCATTAATCAAATCTAAAGTCTGCTTCAACATTGCTTTTATATGTAAAATTTCCTTCACAACAAAGGCAATTGGCTGTGATTTGCTTAACCAACCATTAACTTCATAAACTTTTCCACATTGGATGTGACAAGTGTATCCTCTCGGAATGTGGTTTGTAATCAATTACCTCCATTTAATATACCAAAAACTTGTAATTGTCTGGCAACATCTACTTTGCCACCACTGTAAAGAATTCGTGAAGAATTATTTTAAAAACGAATTAAACACTTTACTACGAACAAATACTTTAATTGTGGTAAAAATATAAATTATTCTTTATTCTTTTTAAATAATAATCATATTTATAATACAAGAAAATACAGATAATCTCATCTATCTGAATATTACTAATCATAATTAGCAAAAATGCTTATATAAATTGTTACAATCACATTCAGCAATAAGTTGTGTAAGCATATCCTTTATCATTTTTCCTAATTTCAAACTATCTTTCAAATCTTTGCTTCCATTTGGTCCTTCCAATTTGCAATCTGTTTCAATGGCCCCGAACTCTATGAGGCCTTTTGTGATTCTAAAAATACCATATTCTTTCCTCTCAATTTTTGATCAGAGACTGTCCTACCCTTATTTTCCCTCATACTTTCATCCTATAGTAACTCAACCTTCATATCATGGAAATACAGGTCAATTAAACGGCTCCACACATTATGTTGATACCATCCTTCCAGTTTTGATGGATCAGAAGTATAGATGCAACCCAAATTAAAATCTCAAATCCCAAATTCCAAATTAATTTGTGCATCCCAAATGCACAATCCCAAATATAGATCAGATTCCTGTGCTTGCTCTCCTATCCAATAAACATCCAGCATAACAAAGGGATTGCTGTTCCCTCACAAATTCCAGGCACTTATTGGTTGAGCAAGAAAACTGATCTACATTTGGGATTTGGGAATTCTTCAATGGATGCCCCAAATTTAGTTTGTGCATTTGGAATTTGGGTGGCATGTATAATCAGAAGTAAAGCTATTCTCCATTTCCCATAGTAGCAGACTCCTCGATACACACATGTAAGTTTTTGTCAAATTTAATCTCATCAGGTATAAATGATTGATAAACAACTTTCCACAAATCATTGACATTATCAAGTGTGTATTTTTTAACAATTCAATTAGTGAATGTTCAACAAGCTTGTACTTGGTGGGAAAATTTAGAAATATTAAAGCTCCTGAGTACAAATAAGAATTCTCATATGATAAAGATGACTGGAAAAATATTTTATGGTGTACAGAGTGGGCTGTAGGTTGATTGTAAGTAAATTTCTTTTTTTTCTAAGTTGTCATATAGTTTATAAAATAGTATTCATTCTTTTATATAATCTTAGTGCATTTGAATCCGAACGAAATCCTTTGATGCAACAAGATTGTCATGAGAGGGAATGGTTGGGAGGTTACTTGGTTCCTATTTTTCAAGGTGATTTGGTCATTTTCGAGTAGCATGGTTTGTTATCACTGTAATTTGTATTTATAATTGTTGTAAGGATAATAACTTTTTGATTACTTTGTTACTACAATAGGGGAGAAGTTACAGTGCAAGCTTCTTTGCAAAGATGTAATTCTTACAAGAGTAGTATTCCATGTCACAATCCAAAAAAGGAAACCAAAGTGGTTGCAACCAGGTGTCACAAACCATTTTTATATGTCGCAAATATGGTTGCAACCATCACCAAGAATTGCGACCAGTATCTATAGACAAGAGCATTTTAGAAGAAAGGGTAGATCATGGCCATTTGACAGTTCTGCTGTGTTCCACTGATTCTTATGAAATGTTATGTTTATTGGCCTGTGGTGATCCACACAAAGTTGATCTCACCAAACTAGCTTCAGACAAATTTCAACTTCTGCGAATGATGAAAGATTACTCTAGACTAGGGTTTGTATTCATGGATACCATGAATACTGTTAAGGGGGTTACACACCATTAAATCAGCAAAAAATCCCTTTAAAACACTTGATTTTAATAGTGTGTGACCTCCTTATGGTATCCGTGAATACAAACTCTACTCTAGACAATATGCAAGATAAGTATTATAATAATACTAAAAAAGATGATAAAACGTGTTTATATACAATAGGACTCCAAGTGAGTAAATTTAATACTCTGAATTATAAAGAATTTGGCAACAAAAAAATCATATTTAATAAATTTTTCTTTTAATAGCAATATAAGTCAGAAGTTCATGTTTATTTAATGGAAAGACATGATGTTTATCAACTTCATCTTATTATTATCAAAACATTTGATATTCCTTTAACATTTACAACATTTCATATTTTGCGTATCAGTCTGGGTTGGGCCTGGATATTCGGGTATGTGTAATAAATATTTATGATTTACAGTCTTTATTAGTTGCATAATAATAAAAATCATGTTCAGTTTGCAGGGACTGGTGAATAATTTATTAGAGAAACTGATTGATAATGCAGAAATGGGTTTAGTTACTCCTCAATGGATCTCAATGGATTTCAAATGATATGGCTACACAGGAAACTCCTGAAAAACTCAAAAGAAAAAATCTGTAAAGCAAATGGTGACAGGGAAAAATACAAGTCTGGGTCATAAATAAAGATCATTCATAATTCTATTTGTATATAAAACATATAACGATTTCTGCAAGCATATAATAAAATACTGTATTTTTCATTTTATTTTTTTTTGTCATTTATAACCTTTCATTCTGGCGATTGCTTTTTGTAGAATGAAAAATAAGACAAATTTTGGTGATCTTGGATCTCAAGCTCCATAACATATGAATTTTGATATTATTACTGATAAAGAACAATAAACTCTCCTCATTCATATCCTTTTTGGGTCCCTTTTGTATTTTTTCTTATTGGAAAAAGCTATCTACAGTAAAGAAAAAAGGCTTTGTTAATTCCATAATCTATAGAAATAATTTAGCAGTGTTACACATAAGGAAAATATTATATGGTTGGCTCGGTCTAAAGACCTTCTATTGCTGCGCCACGCGCTCAAATTTCAAAAATTGCAATTTCGTGATTCGTTCAAAAATGCAATAATAATAATAATGAATAAAATTTTATTATTCGTAACCAAAAAAAAAACATTATTTGTGTAACAATTATGGTTTGAATTTTATCCTTTTATCGTTAGAATAAATAACTAAAATTTGTTTGTTTTACATCAGAGAAATTGATATTGTGTTGTGCAATAAAATCAAACCTTGCTCTTTTTTTTCCACTGATAAATAAACCATGGTTGATTCGATTAAACAAGCTCCTCCATTACTCAGACGTTCATCAAGTAATTTATCAAGAGCACCAACACCACCACCAATTGAAGATAATCCAATATCATTAAAAGTTTCAAAAGTATTAACAAGACCAATTGACGATGTAAGGGTTAAATCAGCATTAGAAGCACTTTCTGAATTTTATATGCCAAACTTAATTGATCATCATGGTCATCATGGTTTACGTGAAAATATTGAACAAAAATCAATTGAAATTAATCGAAACTTTCTACAAGTATTTCATAAATTAACTGAGGTATTATTAAAGTAATTGAAGTGAGAATGATATTGATAATAATTTGGCGATGAATTTATCATTTATTTATTCGAAAAAATTTTTCAATTAGCAATTGTCAGTTATTGAATTAGAAATAAAATCTATGAATGAAAATTACGAAGAAATAGAAAAAAATCTTAAATCAGCAAATCAACAAGTATCAATTTTATTGGAAAAAAGTGAAAATTTAAAATCCCAAAAGTAAGGATTAATTAATTCGTGTATTATTAATTTATAATTTTATTCATTAATTAATTTATTATTTTTATATTTTTACATAGTCAAGGAATGTGATTAATTTGGAATTTTTTAAATTTTAACATTTTTTATTTAAGCAAAAGTTTATAGATGATATGTCTCACAAATATAGATTAAACATGGTCAGTTTCAGAGTGAGTTCCTTTTTTTATCTAAATGAATTAAAATATCAATTTTTGATTATTAATCAATAATTGATTGTTTATTTTCCCTACAGATTTTATACTGAAATATTTACAAGAAAAAGATTTTTTATTTTATTTGGCAAGTTTATTTTATTTTTATTTTATTTATTATCATTCTATTATTTTCTTTTTCTTTTTAAAAAAAAATTATAATCAAACAATTTTGTCATCAAGGGAATAAAAAGCCTTAATTAAATACTGATTAGCCTATTTGCAACATCTGGTGGTTCATACAATATTGAATAAATATAACTTCCTTACAAAATATTTCATTTATCCTTAACTTTGTCCTTTGTAAACATGTCAGTTTCTAAATTAGATGATTAATATTATAAATGTGTAAATAACTTTATTTATTTACATATAAAAATGAATTAAAATGTTTTGATTTTTAATAATAATTGAGAAGTCAGACATGATTGATATAATACATGTGAATTATTCCGCTAAGCAATTCTTGTGCTAAATGTAATAAGCATCGTGGGTGTCCTGATAATAATGCTAAACTTTATGGTAAAATTTTTAATATGTATAATAGTAAATAAAATTTCTTATTCCTTCTTGTTATATGGGTTGGGAAAACTATTTCTTTAATTCAATGTCAAATTTCTAAATGACTCTATGACTAAGATAAATTATGGCTTGCTAGTGTTTCTAATAACTAACTTTTCTTTTATTTACTATGATTCAAGGTCTTGGCTGTAATTTTATTGATAATAATAATAGAGGGAGATGTGGGGAAAAAACAGTTTGCAATTCTTGTGTTAAATGTAGTAAGCATTGTGGGTGTCCTGATAATAATGCTAGACTTATGGTAAAAAATTTTAATTTATATTAAATAAAAATTTCTTCTTCTTGAAAATAAACATAAAACAATATATCACACATAATAAAAAGTAAATACAAAATACTTACACGGGTCTTCCTGGTGCTTTTGACGTGTCATTAAAAACACCCTGCCTGAGAAAGACAGGATAAATTTTACACCTTTGGGTGCTGAAGGATCTTACTTTAACTATTTAATAGCTCATGAAATAAATTTATAAGTTCAAGAACAAGCGTGACATTGAAAAAGATTTACAATTGCAAAAGTCAACCACGACCTACTACATTATATCTGACTAAAGAGTGAGTGAATAAAAAGAAAAAGAAATTCGGTTACATTAATGATGATGACAACAATAAATATTTATTCATTATGTTGAGCCAAAGAATAAATATAAGAAACCTAATTTTCATGGGCTAAATGATTCCTCAACGTTGGATTTTTTATTTATTGAATTAATATTTTTTTGTGATAGTAAACATATTATTTTCAAACCACTACTCCTCCATTTTCAAAGATATAGGTACCAAATTTGCATGAAGGGTAGTATATACGTTATATTTAAAGCTATGGAAGGATTTAATGGATGTAAAAAACACCAATGGCATAAAAAAACTCATTTGAAATACAGAAAATTTCTTTCTTTATATTATCCGCACGACTATACAAAAAATTTTTTTAAAAGAAAGCTAATTATTAAACCGTACTTAATAGTTGTACATGTTAAAATAATGAATTGTATAAATTTATGTGTTTATGG